AAACAGTGAAAAGAAACTTTTAAAAATGGACGATGAGTTTATAAGTTTGAACAGCAATAGGTGAAAAGAAACTAAAAAAAATGAACAATGAGTTAAAATGTGGGAACAGAAAACAGTGAAAAGAAACTTTAAAAAATGGACGATGAGTTTATATGTTGGAACAGAAAACAGTGAAAAAAACTTTAAGAAATGGACGATGAGTTTATATGTTGGAACAGAAAACAGTGAAAAAAACTTTAAAAAATGGACGATGAGTTTATATGTTTGAACAGCAATAAGTAAAAAGAACATTCTAAAAACTGGACGATGAATGGAAGAGTTAATGTGTTGGTGTAATACTGGAAACGTGGTCCTGCATACTTAAAACCTGACTTCTCGGAAGGGAAAATTAGAAAAATCTGGCTTATTTCTTGATTAAAAATGCCTAAAGAAGCAGGAAATGAGAAGAAAGCTGCACGAGTGAATGGCATGGCGGGAGATTAAAAAGATGCACGTTCTAATCTGAATTTACCAACCAGGATCTGCCAGGATTGGGCAAAAATAGATTTATTTATTATTGCACGGAATACCAGGAATAGATTAGACTACAGAGAAAAGCCATTTTGGGTTGTTTGGAGATAAAAACAGGAGCTCAAAATCCAATATGTGGCCACATGTTAGCATCTGTTAGCATCCAGAATTTTAAAAAGGTTAAAAAGTTCTTGATTTAAGGTAGTATTTATGTATAATGTGAACATGTTGGCAAGGTTTTGCTGGTTATATTTAAAAAAATTTAGGTGTTTTTTTCATATTAAACCATGAATACACGACCAGTCAAAGGTCAGATATGGAGGATTTGTTCTCAAACCTTTGACGGTCTGAACTGTAAAATGACATTAAAAAAAGGTGGATTTTACTGGAGAAGTTAAAAGTCAGAGATAACAGATGCTAATATTTAAAGAATGGAAACCAGCCAATCCAGGCAGAGTTGATTTTAAGCTGCCGAGGTGTGTTTTAATGTGTGTGGTGTCAGTTTTCCAACGAGAGACGAACGTTTTTCCCATAGGGGGCAAAAGATAACGATTTAATAAACACCGACACGACTCACAGCGAATCTCCGAGCAAACAGAAACTTTATAACAGTTTATAACTTTACCTTGACACGTCTGGGGGAATTTCTGGTGTACTGTATATGTTAGGGATGGGAATCTTCACCACCAAGGCGATACGATACACATCTCGATACACAACCAACGATTCGATACATTCACGATTCATGAAATTTCTAGTGATAAGATTCGATACGATTCTCCAACCTCCTGCGATCCGGTGCGATACAGAACGATCTAAATTTAAAATGCTGCGATACAGTACGATACGATACGATACGATACGATACAATACGATGCGATACGATACAATACGATGCGATGCAATGCAGAAGAAAAGTACACCATGGACTACATAGTTCAAGTTATGGCACGCAAGCTAACTGTGCCTTTTATTTTGAAACAAAGGAAGTGCAACTTAGAGAGTGATTGTCTCTCTGAATGGAAACAGGGATGGAAAGAAACGCAACTAAAACTCAAAGACACGTTTCTAAAAAGTTATAATAATAGAAGATAATAATCGGTTTGTATCGATGCAGGTAGTTTTATACGATGCATCTCGAGTTTATGTGCGGTTTTTACCGAT